TTCTAAGCCTTAGCAAACACTCCTGAGAAGTTTTTAAAAAAAGAAAAAATTCTCAGCTATTCTGTACAATTTGATACCTGGAAGCCCTCGACCTACTCCGGCCATTGATAATGAATATGCAAACACTGCCGATGGAGGCTGATCTAACTTCTTTTGGTGAGGGAGATAAGTCTGAGCTGCAGTCTTTGGGAGACGAAGCTTGGGCTGTTCATCCTTAATGGGTTGTTCTGGCTCTTTGTACTGGGCCAAGTACCTGTTATATTGTATATGGATAATAAGGTATTATGAAGGCTTTCAATTGGTATGAAATTTATCTATGTAAAAATTTACTCAAGACAAAGAAAAAGTAAAAACGAAATTTAATTTTAATCAGAGAACAAAATTAGATTGCTGGTTAAAATTTAGATTGCCTCTGTAACTTCAAATTTGTGTTAAAAACCTTTGGACAGTTTACATTTTTCTGGTAATGCACTATACATGTATGAAGTGTGCACTTTTGATGTGTTTTTGTTGCAAAGTTCTTGTGAAAATGGCCTTCAATCTGCCCAAATGACCCTGAGTGGGGGTCATGTTACACCTCATCATAAAATTAGCGCTTAGATGTTTCTCCATCATCAAAAGATGGCCTGGACAGGTATTACTTTTCGCCATTCACTTATTAAACAATGGGGCAAGGACATATTACCAGGGCTCTAATTGGCGACTAATTTAGTCGCCATGGCACCTAAAATTTTCTATTGGTGCCTAAAACTTTTCCTTAAGTCGCCAAATTGGCGACCATTTTTAATTGACGTTGATTGTCAAAATCAAGAAATTTTCACATTTTTAACAATTTTTCTAAAGAAGGCAAAAGAAATTTACAAGAGGAGGGAATTATTTTTAGCAGTGGACATGTCATATTTTCTTAGGCACATCATGGGTCCCTATATTCAATTAACTTTTAAAGTTGGTGCCTTAAAAAAATTATCTGGCCACTAAAAATTTGCATTGGCGACTAAATTTTTTGGATAAGGCGCCAGCTGGCGCCTAAATTTTAGAGGCCACTTAGAGGCCTGATTACACAATCTCAGGTCACGAGGTCAGAAGCAATCTTATTAACATGAATTTGATAGGGCTAGGATGATACAACTTTTTCTATATCGATACGAATCATAATATTTAAGCCACGATATATGGAATTGGTTATAAAAATCTTTTTTTGTATTGAAATGAACGAAATATTTCTTCACAAATAAGAGCAATTTATTGACAGAAGTTGTATATCTGTTGTAAAACAAAATTATTTTACACAAGTGGTGTATTATTATTATGTATTTCATATTTATATTTATATTTAGCATATTTATTTTATTTATTAAACCCAAAATGTTAAGTAAACAAAGAAAAATAGAAGTCAGAATTTTTTTTGGCAATACTTCAATATTTCTTCATACGTATCGATATGCGTATTATCCTCACACAGAATCGATATTATCCATATCTCGATATATCATCCCAGCCCTAGAATATGAGCTTTAAATGTTTTTCTCTTGTTAAGACCTGGACAGTAAATGAATTGTGCACTTTTTCTGCTAATGACCTTGAACTTGTGCCAATTAACAAATAAATTGGGTCAATGTCATTACTTCCAGGGTTTGAAACAATCTTTTGTTTTAAATATGAGTTTCCAATGTTGCTCTCTTACAAATGTTATGAACTGCATATGATTGCAAAAACAGGTAGACAGGCAGACAATTTCAACTGTTACCCCCTTCTTTTTGCAGACAGGAAGTACAATCATAATGAGATACATACTTTCTGTCTTCTGCTGGAATATGCATCTGTTTAGCGAATTCTTTCTTCTCTGATTTTGTCAGTCTGAAATGTTCAAAATCAACATGAAAATGTGTCCGAATCCTTGCTTAACTACACAATGTAGAAATAAACAGATTTTTCATTAAAGTTAAAAACACACTACCCTGGGATTATCATATGGTCCTGACGTGCGAAGAATTGGGGGTCCACCCCAATCCTGGCCACAGAGGGAATCTCTGTCAAAAAAAAAAAAAGAAGCTTGAGAAATCTTGAACATACAATTTATAAAGGAGTATATCTATGTTTTTGAGTTTTTTATTTCACAAAGCTTTCCCAATTATTTCAATGCAAGTCTTTATATCAACATTACAAATGGTGATAGCATTGACAAAATATCATCTTAGGCTCTTTAAGATTTTGAAAAATCTTAACTCTATTCATATTTATACATGTATCTTTGGACCTCTGCTTAAAGGACTTATCGCATGATCTTTCAAAAATCGTAATTTTATGAAAAATATGATCTATAACCTTATTTATTAAAAAACTGAATACAATAAACGTTGCTGAAGGCATATTTTAAGAGATATGGAGAGTTGAAATTCAAATACGGCAATATGCATACAGTACCGACCAGACACAACCTAACAGAAAGCGAACCCAAAGCGCACCCCGGGTTCGCTGCCTGGGTTCGCTTCGGGTTCGCTTGGGGTTCGCAGTAGCCCGCAGCGGACCCAGAGCGAACGCCGAAAGCGAACCCCAAATTCAGTAGCGAACCCAGCAAGCGAACGCGTGTTCGGTGTTGCGTAACTGATCTGTCAATCAGGATTAGCGATAAGACGTGTTAACCAATCAGCGCGTTGACCGATCAGCATGCCAGTTTGTCATTCGATGTAAATAAAACATTCTACAAGCAAAGCGTGTTTATGTACAGTGTGAAATTATTATTAACACGATTAAAAAATATTTATATTTATAAATTAATATCTAGGTAGCATATTATATTCACACATTTATTTTCTTTATGTTTTATTTTTAAAATTCATTTATTTATATTGCGTAAATTTATCAGACAAAAAGTTCTTTAATGTATAAAAGAAAATAATGGTTATCACAATTGTTACTAAAAAAAAAAAGAAAAAAAGTATTTTGACAAATTATAACATTTCATTATCTCAAGATACTGCATAAGAGTATGTATATGTACGTGCTTTCATTCAATTATTTTATTTTTATAATTCTAATTTACAATTTTGTTTAAATCCAGATCAACATCAACATTATTAATCTTCTTAATTGGAAAAAAGTAAAAAAAAAAATAAATAAAATAAAAATAAATAAATAAATAAACAAGAGGCCCATGGGCCACATCGCTCACCTGAGTAACTTTGGCCATGCTGTTCTTTACCAGATTTCCCCCCTTTTAATATACCTATTGTGGCCCTGCCCTACCCCCGGGGGTCAAAATTTGAAAAATTTAGAATCTACACTACCCCAGGATGCTTCCAAATATGTCTCAGCTTTATTGGTCCAGTGGTTCTTGAAAGAAGATTTTTAAAGATTTTTCTTATGTATTTCAATGTAAAACTTGGATTTCCTATTATGGCCCCGCCCTACCCCCCGGGGGTCATGATTTAAACAATTTATAATCTACACTACCCAAGGTTGCTTCCATATAAGTTTCAGCTTTTCTGGCCCAGTGGTTCTTGAGAAGAAGATTTGTAAAGATTTTTCTTATATATTTCAATGTAAAACTTGGATTCCCTACTGTGGCCCTGCCCTACCCCAGGGGGTCATGATTTGAACAGTTTATAATCTACACTACCCCAGGATGCTTCCATATAAGTTTCAGCTTTTCTGGCCCAGTGGTTCTTGAGAAGAAGATTTTTTAAGATTTTTCCTATATATTTCAATGTAAAACTTGGATTCCCTATTGTGGCCCCGCCCTACCCCCGGGGGTCATGATTTGAACAATTTAGATTCTTCACTACCCCAGGATGCTTCCATATAAGTTTCAGCTTTTCTGGCCCAGTGATTCTTGAGAAGAAGATTTTTAAAAGAGTTTTCCTATATATATCAATGTAAAACTTGGATTCCCTATTGTGGCCCCGCCCTACCCACAGGGGTCATGATTTGAACAATTTATAATCTACACTACCCCAGGATGCTTCCATATAAGTTTCAGCTTTTCTGGCCCAGTGGTTCTTGAGAAGAAGATTTTTAAAGATTTTTCCTATATATTTCAATGTAAAACTTGGATTCCCTATTGTGGCCCTGCCCTACCCCAGGGGGTCATGATTTGAACAATTTAGATTCTACACTACCCCAGGATGCTTCCATATAAGTTTCAGCTTTTCTGGCCCAGTGGTTCTTGAGAAGAAGATTTGTAAAAAATTTTCTTATATATTTCAATGTAAAACTTGGATTCCCTATTGTGGCCCCTCCCTACCCACAGGGGTCATGATATGAACAATTTATAATCTACACTACCCCAGGATGCTTCCATATAAGTTTCAGCTTTTCTGGCCCAGTGGTTCTTGAGAAGAAGATTTTTAAAGATTTTTCTTATGTATTTCAATGTAAAACTTGGATTCCCTATTGTGGCCCCGCCCTACCCCCGGGGGTCATGATTTGAACAATTTATAATTTACACTACCCCAGGATGCTTCCATATAAGTTTCAGCTTTTCTGGCCCAGTGGTTCTTGAGAAGAAGATTTTTAAAGATTTTTCTTATGTATTTCAATGTAAAACTTGGATTCCCTATTGTGGCCCCACCCTACCCCCGGGGGTCATGATTTGAACAATTTATAATTTACACTACCCCAGGATGCTTCCATATAAGTTTCAGCTTTTCTGGCCCAGTGGTTCTTGAGAAGAAGATTTTTTAATGACCCCACCCTATTTTTGTCTTTTCTTGATTATCTCCCCTTGTAAGGGGACTTGGCCCTTTATTTTAACAATTTACACTCCCCTTCATCCAAGGATACTTTGTACCAAGTTTGGTTAAAATTGGCCCAGTGGTTCTTGAGAAGAAGTTGAAAATGTGAAAAGTTTACAGATGGACGGACAGACGGACGGACGACGGACAACGGGTGATCAGAAAAGCTCACTTGAGCTTTCAGCTCAGGTGAGCTAAAAAGAAATAAATAAATAAAGAACAGCATAAATGTACATGTACAGTATGTCCAATCGTAAACTACTATGGTATTATTTTGATTTATCTTTTACAAAAAAATAATGTAAAGCTTGATTTACATTTTTTTTTTTATTATTATTATTATTATTATTATTAACTGAAATAAAAAGAAAAAAAAAACAACGCGCGATTTACATGTACATAATTGAACGAATTATCAGTAGTAAATAAGCAATATAATAAGTCGTACAGTATTGTATTCTTATAAATAGCGTAACTTGAAATGATAAAGCATATTTGAGATGTTTAACGATTTCTTTTTTCTGATGATGGGTCCCGTTAACTGCTTATTGTGGTCAAGATTTTTTATACCAATACACCAGAAATGTACATTTTTACAAAAAAAATAATTAATTCCCAATACTTACATAAATAATTAGTCGACAAATGTACACGACATGATTGTCGGGGTTACTTTTTATCCCTGATACTTATTATTATTTCAATTTCTGCAGATGAATGAATTTAAAAAAAATGCTGATTTTTGAATTCATAGATGGAAAGATGAATATAAGTATTCATTCATTATTTAGGTAATTTTTAAATTTTTTTTTACCCCCATACTGCATATTATAAAATCCAATAGAATCAAAACTCACAGTCAACCTATATCATATGATAGAACATGCTGCATTCGATCATAAATTACATTTTTACGTATCAAAAAGATAAAAAAAATTCTAAGTCGGAGAATTACATTAATAATTATTTGTTATCTAAAATACCTATTAAACCTTATTTACATGTAGTTTCAAAAATATTTTTTTCTATAATTTTTTTGTCACTTATCCAAAGTCGATTAATTGCAGCAGTAAATATTTTTAATTTTAATCTAAAATATCTATTAATAAGTTTTTTGTTGTTTTTTTTAAATATCCACTCCTAAATATTTTTCACTATTTTGTGTAAAACCTGGTCGTTCGTGTATGTTGTCAACAATAACATTGCAGCCACTGCACATGCACTTGTATCGATCGCCACAAAAACAAAAATGATCGATTTCACTGCTGTATTTGGAATAAACAAGGGGCGGAGTTTACTGGCGGCAAGATTAAAGCGGGGTTCGCTTCGCTCAGTGCGTAAAGCGAACCCAGAAAGCGAACGCCGGGTTCGCTCTAGCGGACCCAGAGTTGACCCCGAGCGAACGCAGAGCGAACCCCAAGCGAACCCAGAGCGCACCCAAAATTTCTGAAAGCGGACCCGTAGCGGACCCCGAGCGAACCCAGAAAGCGAACCCGGGGTGCGCTTTGGGTTCGCTCTGGTGTTAGGTTGTGTCTGGTCGGTACTGTATTTCAGTCGGATTTCGGCGAAATACTGCTCTGATGTCATAGGCGACAATTCAGTGATAGAGAGATGAGAATATGCACACTATTTACGGAGTTATCAACGACAAATGCAGCTTAATTACGAAAAATGCTGAAAAAATTAATTCCTTATATGCTTTTCAATTACTATCGAACATTAATTAGTTCTAAGGTATAAGGCTTTTAAGATATTTTCGTTTTTTTTATTCAAAACATTTAGAACCTGTAGCTCTAATTACAGCAATGTTTCGTGATCAGGAAATACTTTTCAAGATCGCCATCCTTTAAAAAACATATGAAGACTTGCATAAATTAATGTCAAAACGAAGAATAACAAAGTTATATAATGTTTAATTTGTGAATCAAATAAGTTTAATACATGTGATAAGAAGACAAATCAAATTGCATTGTTATGGCGAGTTTCTTCGTCTTCGCTGCGTCTCCCTCGCTATCGTCGCTGCTAGTTTTACAAAGTTAACAGATTTTTCAGATTTTTTCTTGCTGACAATTCTAACATATAAGGTTGAATATTCAATTTATATCGATAAAATAAGTGATTTGGTCGTCCACAACGCAGAAAATTCAGGTTGTATCGCGTATATTTTAGTAAGATTAATGAAGAGCTGATCAGCCATTGTCGCCTTTGACGTCACAGGGTCACGTGATCGCTATCTAATTAACTTAGATGTTTAATTCAGGGGTTTTCATTTGAGTCAATAATTGGTTAATTACCGCGATTTATCCACAGTAAAAACACAGAATTTATAAATTGTGGTCATAAGGAACGTAATACGCTTTTAATTTCAAATAATTTAGAAACATGCGATAAGTCCTTTAAGTCCTTGAAGCCATAGTTTTAACAAGTTGAACATGAATCTACTGGATACTTAATAATAACAAGAGGCCCACGGGCCTTATAGGTCACCTGAGTATCATGCAACAACTTCGCCACAATGGATTCATGTTTTAAACCAGAGGCCATGAAATTCACAATTTTGAAAGAGGCACACTTGCTCATCATAATTTTACATTTAGTAAGCTTACTTAATACCCAGAAAGAAAGCAGAGGATTATCAAAGAATCAATGCATTTTCACTATGTAATCATTAGAGCTCTGCCCTAACACCAGAACCATGATGCAGGGGCCATAAAATTCACAATTTTGGAAGAGGCATCCTTACATATCATAACAATACTCTTAGTTCATCAGCTTAATACCCAGGAGAAAAGAAGAAGATTTTCAAAGAATTATTGCATTTTTACTATGTAATTAATCATTAATCACCCTAACACCAGAACCCCTGACCAAGGGGCCATGAAATTCAAAATTTTGGAAGAGGCACCTTTACTCATCAAAAATAAGCATCAGTTTGTTTGTTAAATACCCAGGATCAAAGAAAAAGATTTTTAAAGAAATAATGCATTATCACTATATATTCAACAGAGCCCCACCCTAACACCAGAACCCCTGACCTAGGGGCCATGAATTTCACAATTTTGGAACAGGCACCCTTACATATCATAACTATACTCCTTAGTTCATCGGCTTATTACCCAGGAGAAAAGGAGAAGATTGTCAAAGAATTATTGCATTTTTACTATGTAATCATTAGAGCCCCGCCCTAAAACCAGAACCCCTTACCAGGGGGCCATGAAATTCACAACATAGGAATAGGCACCCTTATTCATCATAACTATGCCTTCAGTTTGTTTGCCCTGGATCAGAAAAGATTTTTAAAAGAAATAATGCATTTTCACTATACATGTATATTCAACAGAACGCTGCCCTAACACCAGAACCCCTGACCCTGGGGCCATGAAATTCACAATTTTGGAAGAGGCACCTTTCATCATCATAACTATGTATTTATTTTGTTTTCATAATATCCAAGAGCACAGAAGAAGCTTTTTAAAGAAATAATGCATTATCACTATATATTCAACAGAGCCCCACCCTAACACCAGAACCCGTGACCCCTGGGCCATGAAATTCACAATTTTGGAAGAGGCACTCTTTCTCATCATAACTATGTACTTAGTTCATCGGCTTAATACCCAGGAGCAGAGGAGAAGATTTTTGAATAATTAATGCATTTTCACTATATAATCATTAGATACCCGCCCTAACACCAGAACCCCTGACCCAGGGGCCATGAAATTCACAATTTTAGAAGAGACACCTTTCCTCATCATAACTATGCATATTGTTTGTTTTCTAAATACCCAAGAGCAGAGGAGAAGATTTTTTAAGAATAATGCTTTTCACTACATATTCAACAGAGCCCCACCCTAGCACCAGAACCCCTGACCCTGGGGCCATAAATTTCACAATTTAGGTAGAGGGCTCAATGCTTATTACATTCATGCCAACAGTTTGCCTGCTTGATGCCCAGGAGTAAAGAAGAAGATTTTTAAAGGTTGCATTAATTCTGATGGTTTTAGCCCCACCCCTCAGGCCCCAGGGGGGTAGGGGTCATGAATTTCACAATTTTTACTCCCCTTCACATATAGATGCTATGTGCCAAATTTGGTTGAAATTGGTTCGGTGGTTCCAGAGAAGAAGCTGAAAATGTTCAAATGTTAACGCACGACGGACGACGCACGCCAACAGATGAAAACAGATAGCAATAGGTCACCTGAGTAAACTCAGGTGACCTAAAAAGTGTGTATACATTTGCTGTAAAATCATAGATCTATTGTTCTTTGTGTTTTAAATGCAAATATAGAACAAAGTTGAATATACGCTAAATAGAATGCTTTCACGCTAATAAATGTGAATACATGCAGCAGTCACAAAATTATTAAAGATAAGGGTATGTTAAAAGATATTTTTAAAAAATGTAATGCAAATATAATCTCTACTACCTATTTAATGTACCATTATGAAAAGGAAGTGGGGGGGGGAGGGGGGGGGGGGGACTTAAATCTACCCAAAAAAAGCTTTTGCATTAATTTTGTCATTCCTGGTCACTTGATCCATATAATTTTTTATCATCTCTGAATTTTCTCAAGCATCAGACATGTAAGGCTTAGTCCCGAAATGAATTCTTTCTGCTTACACAGTACTTCTGGGCCAAAAGGAAAGTTTAAGAAGATTATGCTACCTACAGTTCACTTGCCTGTGGCCAACATAAAATAAAAATATATTAAGTTGTGGCATAGATTTATGGCCATATAGAATTACTTGTACTTCCTCTTAAATTAGTTTTGATATAATTAATTGTCAGAGGTAGATGTATAGATTTACCATCATCCCAGTTTTCCTCACTGTTAATTACAACATTATCATACACAGGTAGATCTGTACATCCTCTAAACATGGACGCATCTTCTCCATTCCTCTTACTGCTCTCTATAAAAACAACACACAATGATGAACTTTCTGATCAGATTTTTAAGGTGTCTGACCTATATTAGGACTAAATTTTCTAACCTTAAATATTCACTTTGCATAAGATACTCTGATATTAATTCAAAGCCTTTAGAGTGTAAAAAGATTTACCAAGAGAAATTTTCAAAAATGTAATTACCTAAGCAGTAATTAATCAATGAGGATTGCATTGAGGTCTATAGGGACAAGCAAATTTTTGAAAATATGAATTTAAATACTAAGGATATCAATAAATGCTGTGGTGGAAAGAGGTATTTAATCATTAGGAATAAAAAAAAGATTGAAAACTAATTTTTTACCATTTCAATTTTTTTTTTTTTTTTTTTTTTTTTTTTTTACAATTGATTTTTCTTGATTAAAAGCAAAGGGGCTAACTCTTTCAGAACAGGGGAAGGTCATTAATTAGGGCATATTACATACATTATGATACTAAAACATGAAAATGATGTCTAAATATACTGAGTATTCAACTCATACATATCTGTTATGCAATTTCATTGAATCTGAGGATATTATGGACTGAATACGTACTTTAGCAAGTCTATCTTCACATCAACTTCATAATATAATTGTAAATTATCTGTGTGTTTTAGAGTCAATAGAGCTTGTAATTTATCTTACTTGACATTATTAAGGTTACTGAACTCTATTCATAGAATACATATTTTTTAGTTCGTTGTTGTATAAAGGGTCAATGTATTTTAGTTCAGAGCTAAAATTTCCCATACCAAACAAGTCACGTACACTTTAAATTCCCAACAAAACAGAATAAAATTGACAAAATTAGCTTCTGTAGAAATATATTTTCAGTAATAAAAATTTGCATACTAAATTCATTTCTTTATAACTTACCATAAGCTAGCATTGGTTCAATCACGGCCTTGTCAGGACAATTAGCTAAGTGATAGCGCAGCTCTGGTTTTGGCATTTCATGTCTGGCATTGAAAGGGCAAGTGGCAAAATCACTTCCAGCATAGTTCTGAATAAACATAATAATCTAAAGTTGAAAATCTTTTTATCAACAATTATACATCTTGAAATTCTATGATTCTAGTAACACAGAGGTGTTAACTCTATTGTGCAGTTTTCAGTAATTTAACTAGTTTCTATATATTCTCTATTGAGAAGTTGATGGCTCGTACTCCCCCTCAACTTGAGGGGGAGTATTAAAACGAGCCATCAACTTCTCAATAGAGAATAGTTTCTATATATCCATGATTTGAGCTTTTCAACTGAATTTAGTGTTGGCAATACCTCTTACATGTACATTTAATAACATAGATATGTACATTTGATAACATAGACATGAATGACTTTATATTATGAGACACACTACTACCAGTATCTTTGTTGACAGCATCTATCATGCATAAATAACAATTCAAATATAAATTAGGTGTTTGGGTGAATATCTCAATCATTGCTAAAGTATTAACACAATGTGAAAAAAAAATAAAATAAAATTTAAAGAATAACACAGTAGTTAACTTTCAGGATGCCAATTAGAAATTCCTATTTTGAAATGAAATTCCAGGATAAATACAGAATAAGTCACACTGACCTTTCTGCACTTCATTAGATGGTACTGCATCCTTTTGGCCCTGATCATGTGAACTTTGTCATAGGGGCAGGGAATCATTTCTTCTGGGTCGGGAATCTTGTATTGAGCCATTGTATATTAATGGCCCTTGACTGTGCTCTCACTGAAACAAAGCAAGACACCAACACTGAGTCAACACACCAATCACAACACACAGAGAGATCAAATTACAATCTCCAGGCTGAGATTCTCCTACATTCACAGTGGGACACAATCTCCTGATTACTGATGTGGAACAGTGATTTCAAACAGGTTGCTGTTATGACAGCCACTCAAGAAGAGAGAAATGAAGTGGTGGATCATCTCTAATACTAACATGACTAATAGGCCAATAATTTATCACTCCTGCTGTTTTTAATTGACCAAGCTGGATCTTTCTTTATGTTCCAGCATGTGACATGTGATTTCATTATAAGTATTTAGATCATCACTACAAGTTGATTCATCCTATTTGTACATGTAGAACCTGACTGTTTTACTGCTTGGGAATAGAAATACGTACTTGTCAATACTTAGTCATAATCTTCTCTTTATAAGTTTATGACCGGTCAGAAAAGTTTGTTAAATTTAATACCCCTATTCTGGATTTCTTTCTTGAATTTGAAGCAAAATCTTTTGGGTTTCAATACTGATTAAAACATAAAAACTGTATCCCTGACAATTATCCCCAAAAGATCTATGCATTAAAATTTTCATTTAAATTTACAAAAGCTGAGTAGTCAAGATAATTATTGACAGAGATGCCAAAACCCCGATTTTTGAATCATAGAATGTGAACAAAATATTAATCAAACTTAAAATAGAGTATGATTCATTTTTAAAAATAATTCGACATTTCCCTCCTCCTGACTTGTTCACCCTAAGCATACTGTAAGTAAGTACATGTATACACTATGCTTCAACATCAAACTTCCATCAATATTGTCTTCTTCTTTTTTTACACTCAATTAGAAAAACAATGCATGCATGGATTATACCTATTTCCAAAATGAATTATAATTGTTGGAAATTAAAGATGTGAATTCATCTATCTACTTCTACACTGTATACAAAAACAGCATCTATAATTATGTGTTTATCTCACTTTAACAATGTAAATGGCTGGGGCATAATTTTTAAATGGAAAATTGATAAAAATATGTAAAACATGGAAAATTTCAAGTTTTCAGCAGACATCTCATTTCATTGTGAGTTACATCTGTAAATTTCAAATC